AGTAAGGCTCAAGTTTTAACTGCAGTCGTTCAGGGTACTCATGTTTCCACCATCAGACCTGAAATGCAACTTGATTGTTTCAGGGCGTACTGGGTGTTTTCAATTTATTTAGAAAAATAAGTAGCGAAAAGGAACTTGGGTGGTCGGTCATGAGCTATCTATGCTTTTCTAGGAAGTGTTATTAATGGACAGAGCAACGTACCCACCAAAACTACAAGCCCCTGTCACATCAGTATCAACGGAAATAGCCTGCCCAGTCACACCAGGTATAGCCAACTAGCTTAAAACCAAATCTCTGTATTCTCTCAACCAATATTACCACATGTACAAATTCCGCTACTCTGTAAATGTCCAGTAAGTTCATATTCTATTAATGCCAACTCTCTCCCCCTTCCCCTAAATATCAGACATCTTATATGAAACAAAAGTTAAGAATATTGCAAATCAAATGCATGATTTCCCACTAATCTCAGTGGGAGTTTATAAAACCTATTACATGCAGGATGGTTTCCCCAAGAAAAAAAAAAAAAACAAACAAAAGGCAAGATCCTATTTCTCAAGGTTAGTAGTCTAATAAGATCTTTAGGTTTTTCACAATTTAAGGCTTCGTTACAGCTTAAAGTTTTTTCTTCTGTGATTCTACAGCTATATTTTTATATGACTATTATTATTATATCTACACATTTACACGCACTCATACATTTAAATACTTTATTCAACTACACATACATAGTTCTACTAATATAAAACCCTGTTTATACTCTTTGTTTTAAAATAAGAATATTCACACGGGGAATTACTCCAGTACAGAGAAGGCAGTAAAATTATATAGTTACAGACAGTTCAATGTATCTCCAGGTATGCATAAACTCATTTAGAAGACTTTTGCTCTGGCACAGAAACCTCTATCTTTCTTACTCCCCTACTACTGAATTTAAACCATACCAAAGTTTTAACGTGTACTCCAAGTACCCTAAAAACAAGCCAGCAAGAGATTCTGGTGAGACTGGAGGAAAACTAATGAACTCCTCTAAAAGGCTCAGCCTGCAGCAGCTTGGGCTACAGCTAGCTTATCTCCACAGAGCTCTCTCACCCTCACCAGCTGGGCCTGTCAAAACAGGCATTTTCTACAACAGACGCACATTTATTCCCACTTTCCCCATTTCTTCCCCCATGGAAGTAAATGGTGTATTGTACCCAAACAGGAAGATTTTTCCCTCTGGTTAACACCTAAATAAATAATTTCCATTTGGATTTGTCCCATTTTCTTCTCGGATCCTTTCCATTGGATCGCGGAAAAAAATGGGTGCGATGGGAAGGTTCCACAAAACTGAGCCTTAGTAACTCCTGTTAAATTAAAATGGTTTAAAGACCCACTGTGGTGGCTGCTGTACAGCTGCAGAGTTAAAAGCGTAAGAAGGAAAAAAAAGTCTTACAAAAAAAGAGAACACCCCAAACAAATTACAAATATACCTGATAAATTCAATTACCTTCACAGTTCAGTCATTTTTAATTTTTTCCTACCATTCGCTTACGATAGTAGAAATTTTCTCTGTTCTCTCTACTTCAGGGCTCTGCTTTCACAGGATGAAGCCTTCTGCAGCTTAAAGCTGACCTGCCCCAGGCTGCCAGCTCCTCCGGCGTGTGCCCATCCCGTCCCCAGGCGGCATCCTACTGCTGCTCGCTGGTATTGTTGGCACCACTGACCACAGCCCCATACAGAACGCCTCAAGGGTCTAAACAGGCTTACAAGCTTCTTTTTTTTAAAAAAAAATCTTATAGTGCTTGGCAGCACTACACTGAAAGAGCAAGAAGCATTTGCCTCTTTGAAGTCACAATTCCTGACAAAAAAAAGGGAAAGTATGAAGACTTCAGAAGAATAATAATCATTAAGAAGCAAAGGCAGGCATGTTATAATTCTTATTATTTTGCAGCTGCCCTTTAAAGCTGGGAACTAAGGTGATGCAGTCAATTAAAACTGAAAGTAAACATGATTTGTACAAAGCATTCAAATACAAACATTTTATAACATTTTTAGAAAATAAGTGAAACCTGTGGGTGGGAGCATTGCTTCAAGATGAAAAAATACTTAACATGATATCCCGTTATCCAAAATAATTGTACAGTAAAAATTGTCTTTAGAACACCTGTTCAAATATTAATTAGCAGAGAATAAAACACAAAGACTGGACAAACTGTTTCAAAAGTCATACTATACCAGAGCTTAATAACTGACAAAGCTGCCATCACAGCCAGCCCAAGCAAAGGGAGTTTTAATACGCTGATAATAAAGGGTAAACGGATTCACTGAGAAGTGCTGGTGTAAAAATACATATAAATATGGTAAAATGAGAACTGCTGATGGAACTACATGACACTGTCATGTGCAAGGCACAAAATGAAAGTGGGAGAAAAAGTGCAGGACACAGGCCGAGTAACGCCACAGCGCCTTAACCAACAGGTTATGCTGGTGATATTCCAGTCTCTCCATTTCCTCTGTGCGAGAGGAGTTGGGCCCAAAGGACACTGGAACCAGAAATGGCTCAGTACACACCAAGAACCCAGTTCTCACCTTTGCACAGGAAGATGCATATCCATAAAGAAATTACTTTTTAAAAAATTATTGCCTTTACAGCGGAACATTGTCCTTAAGCTGCACCCAGCTACTGGTTTATGGCATGCAGCAGGGCCCTGTAACAGTGTATTGCCCTGCTATTCACGTACATGTCATAATGCTTAGTTCCTGCGTTGCTTTAATCATTTCTCACCACCCCATGATTTTTTAAAACACATTTTTCACTAGAGAAGAATAAAACCTCCTCAAACTCCCTCACAGAAAAAAAAATCATTAAAAAGCATGCATTACTTTAAGATAGCAAAAAAGAAAAGCAGACTGTAAAACCAAACCAAATCAATCCCAGCAGCTGCAGCACTGTGGCACTAGCAAAGATACAACAGGGTAAAAAGATCATCGTTTCTTTGTTTTTACCAATTTTCTGTTCAAGTTTCTCCCTTGATGACACCCTCTTTCAGAAATACGCACAACGCTGCCGTTACAAAACACGGGCAAGACAAGCAAGACGACCCCTTCTGAAGCGCCCACACAATCTAGTCTCTCCGCCACAGAAGTAACTCTGCAGTTGTCACCGTCACACCAACCCACAGCCATAGTCAGATCTTCACCTCCCGGCCTCCCTCTACCCACGACTCCAGACACCTGGTAGGGTCCTGTCATTTTTTTTTTCCTCAACAGGTTTTCTAATACCCATCATTTACTACCCAGACCTACCTGAACTCACCTCCTGCACTGCAGCATTGTTTTCTTTGCTTCCACTCTAAATCTGAGACTAATCCCTTTCCAATTTTTCTAAATTCTCATCTCCCTTTTAGTATGGTACACCTTTCCTTGAAACCAATTTGCTGCTTTTAAGAAAGCTGCAGTTATTTCAGTTCAACATCCTTTAAAATACTGTCACTATATTGTACTATGTAGTTTCAGTATCTATTTCAATTACACAATCTCTCCAAACAAGAAAATATCTTTTAAGGCATCTGTCAAGTCAACACAATTTAAGAGATACACAAATTATTAGAGAAGCAGCTGTATAAATGTGTGTGAGTTTTTGAAACAAAGCATGAGCAATTTTTACAATGTTGAACACCACACCTAGCTGGTCCTAAAACCAGCTCCCACTGACACCAGTGTCAGTAAGAACGGGTTCTTTAAAACCGCTTTCTACATTTTGTTTGTTTGTTCTGAATTCATTCTTTAGAATTTGTACTTAATGTCAGTGAGAGTGCAGTCTGGAGTGGAAAACATGCAACAGAAATTTGCTGACAAAAGGTCTGAAAAGTGACTCTAGAAATGGAAACATTTCTAAAAGAACAGTTACATCATCGTTGTAGTAATAAATGAAATGTAATTAACGAAAACTTCTTCCACCTTGAAAAGTCCGACGCAGGACAGACACTCTTCAGCACCCTTCCTGAAGTTGCCCTTAGGAAGACTGTAACCACATGAAATCCTATTAGAAGGTGCTGAACTCCTACATTGTGACTCTTCCGGCAGGCTTCTACATAACAAAAATGCAATGAAGTTCCATACAACTCTTCCCCCTTATTATGCAAAATCCTTATCAAATTCAATAGTGTGACATCGTTCAAAATCCTGACTAACAATGGCACGCAGGAGGTCAAGAGATGTCGTCTTTGTTTTAGTTTCACTGCTTTTCAGTCTATTAACGTAAAAGAAAAAAGAACCTTCACAGAAATAGCCGATAAAGATCAAACCTAACTAAACAATGGGAAGGAAATTCAGAGTTAAAACTGGTGCTTAGCCCTTCACACGGACCATTGTGCCCGGGTGCTGCGCCGCAGAGGGATCCCGGGTCACACAATACCCAGGAACAACAAGGTGAGGTAAGCGCCCTCAGCTCCCCACCTCCCTCCCAGCTTTTGTCCTCCCAGCTGGGGCCAGGGCCGCTCTTTTGGGGCGGCATCTGTACTTCTGGGGGGCACCACGGCGCAGCCCCCGGAACGCGGCGTGCGGCACACGTTCCACCCGCGACCGGCAGCACAAAGGCTGCAGTGGTCGGGGGGGTGGACACACACACAATTAGTCCCAATTAGGCCTATTTCGCAGCGGGTAAGGGCTGGGGAGGGGGAAGGTGCTTAAATTTTAAAGCACTGGGTCCCTCCGGCGAGTTCAAGCGAGATCGGTAAAGTGACAAGTTTCAGGAAACGGACCCGACTGGTGACCGTGGGGGCAAGTTCCACGAAGTCAGAAAGAGCCCCCTCCGGGTGACGGAGCGGTGCTTCTGCAACCTGTAAGGAATTCCATAACCATTCCACCAACAAGGAATTCCGTAACCATTCCACCAACGCCGCTAACCAATCCTCCCAGTTCCCAACCGGCTGGGCCAGCAGCAGCCCTCACTCAGCCCCACGGCACACCAGACACGCCGGCAGGCACACGCCGAGGCGACGCCGGGAATACTCACATGTGCACATGCGGAGGCTGGAACCTGCTCTGATTGATGTTGTAGTGCGTGAACGCCTGCGTTGGGTTGGAGCTGTATTCATCCACCGTGATGGTAACTTTGCCTTGTGAAGGAATTCCATGAGCCATCCTTCCTCCTTATGGACATGAGCAGCTCACAGCTTCCCAAGGCCAGGAGCGGGGTAGGGCATTGTGTTCCAGGCGGCTCCCGACTCCTAGAAGCTCATCAACTCCGCGGACCTCTGCCAGGAGAGAAAGACAGCACGCACTGCTATAAACTCAAAGGAGATGCAAACATACGCAGACATATTACTCTATCCTCTCCTGATTTCCGTTCAAAGATCTTTTTCCATTTTTTTTATGTAACCATCAACCAACTCTCCAAACATTACTGTTCACTTTTTTTTAAATTAACTCATCATTTAACTCCATCATCATTAAATACATCCACGGGATGAAGGCTTAAACTAAGGCTTTATCTTCAGAAAAAAAAAAATAATAAAAAAATCTGTGTTGAAAGCTTGTGAGAGACCGAACCCCCGGTTTGCCCTGCCTGGGTTGTAACAAAGCTCCAGTTAAATACTCCAAATCTACTACTCTTTACTTTAAATAAGATTTTGTGCTAATTGCAACCATGAAAATTAACAAGTGGGCCCAGTTTCCTAAAGGACAAACAGCTTTCCACAAATACACACACTTGTTTTCAAGGCCCTGTTGTAGCTTTACAAAATAAGTTACAGCTCAGAGACTTACGAGAAGCTGACGAAAATCTTACAATGGCATAGCAAAAGGTACACCCAACCACCTTCGAATCAAAGCATTTACCTGGCCAGAGAAAGGCTAGTATCTAGACAATGTTAACAGAATATCCATGTTACAGTCCACTAGCAATGAAACTGGTTTGGATTCACCACCAGACAGTAACGATTTATCTGACACATTTAAGTGCGATTTTACGCATAAATATTTCTGTGTACGATGACAGAAATACGCTCTTACATCCCTATCTTTCACTTCTTCAAAGCACTCTTAAACACATCTTGCATTAAGGCTGGAAGCATTCTATAACATGAGCCCAAGAGCCAGAAACTTCCCACACCCGATCTCTGTTGAGTTCCTTGCACAGAATCTGAGCCTCAATTTCTTCAATCAATAAACTGAGGATACCTCAGCTGCCTTCCTTTCAGAGGGACTTTATGAAAATTGATCTGCTGATGTTCCAAGAATACTTTCAAGACACGCCACTCCTTAAAACCCTGTTTATGAGGTAGATCCTCAGCTGGAGCATGCTAGCCTAGCTGCAAGGACCTGCATGAAATCATGACGCTTCACAGCAGTCGATTCTCCACCCTTTGGTTGCTACACACAACGGTGGATTTGTCATATCTGGTGTGTAATTTACAAAAGTAAATCAGTGCTTGGCGGGAAGACAAAGAGATAGGGAAGGCAAGAGAGTGACTTGAGCCGTGGGCACCAAGCTAAGCAGTATTTTTCCAGTGCGATATTCCTGGATGTCTCTTAGCTCCCAGATAGAAATGTGTTTGCCATGTGTAACATTAAACATTTGGAATCTTTGATTTGTATTCAAAATATATTTTTAATACAAAGACTAATTTCCAGTTTGGCATGAAGCATGATAAAAAATGCCCTGCAAATGGCAGATGGCCTGCTATAGGCCATTTATTTTACTATTTTACAACCTCAGGCCTATGTAGGCTTCCATATGTTAGTTGGGTTAAGACATTCTGCAACCTTCGTTCCAGTGATTGAGTTCTATCCTTCATCTTCTTTAGCATTGGGGAAAAAATAGAAAAAAAAAAAAAAAAAAAAAACTCTTAGCTACCCAGCTGAGAGCCGAGTTCAGTTCCCGTTTAAAAACCAAGCCACAAGTGACACAGTACATCTCTGTAACTATGGTTATGGTCTGGTCTTTGCGCTAAGCCCCTCTCGTAAGAATAAGTGCAAAAACTATAGGAGTAAAAATCAGCAAGGTGAGCTTTACTAAGGCAAATCTTTCCTGTGTTAGAAGTGATGCAAGATGGGTGCAACAACCGCTCACGAATCATAATGTAGTAGTGGTTACCATACCAAGTTTGCAGCTGTTTCCTTAATTTCCCTTACAATTATATTTTAGTGTTATTTTGCATAACAGTAAAACACAACACCTGCTTCAAATTGCAGTCCTGTTCCAAGTACTGTAATTCTTTTGAGACAGAAACTACGAGGAGTGTGCAACACAGAGCAGCGTAATTGCCCTGCACTGAAAAGTAAATACAAATGAAAACATCTTCCCGTTAAGAGAAATGACTGTCATTAACAAGAATGCTAGCCATTGCCATCAGAGCTCCCAGGAAAATAAGTTTTTCTTTTACACAGCAAGAACTTCAGCATCTGCATAAATTAAGAAGTAGTGTGAAAATTACGTGTCTAATGTTATTTTTTCGCAATTAAAAGCTACAATATAAAACAACACGTTAAACCAACAACAAAAATATGCTTGGGCTTTCAGAAAAGCTACATTACACTATTTTCAGTAATCTAGCAAAAAAAAGGTCAGAACATTAAACTTCATATTATAGTTCACTCATGGAAAAAAAATCCAATTTGTTCATGAGAGTGAATTATACATAAAGATAATAAGCATTTTTTTACAAGGTTTATAACAATCCATGTAACAGAAAGAAATTACAACTAATTGGCATAAAACAAATGATAAGAGAATACTTGAATAGCTGTATTAAATACTTTAAAGTAGACTTTCAGTAAGATTGTAAGCATATAAGCAGCAATTGCTTCCCATTGTTCCAATCTTTAATCTTAAGAATAAATCTCTATACTTAAATTAAGACAAAGCCGAACAAAGCATCCTTTTAAAATGAAATTCAACAACAAACGCTGGACTGGAAAAAAAAGCAGAATTTGAAGCTGGCTTCTGTGTCAACTTTCCATTTAGCGGTCCATAGAGTACCACAGTTCACCCACCAGAAGTATCTAATTGTTACCTTCTTTACTGTGAAGGTCTCTGAAGAAAGTATCAAAAAGAAGCTGAACACTTCAAAACTTTAAAACCAAATTTATTTTAGGCCCAAGAAAAAAAAAAAATAATACAAAAGCTACTTTGAATCACCACCGTTCTTTCTTCAACTGCAATCACTCTTTGAAGATTACGTCCAGGAGATGAGTACAAAAGAATAAAAGTTGCATTATTTTTCACATCTGCCAAATAAAACAATGTGCAATATCTTCCACGCCTTATGTGGCCGTTTTAAGTAAGAAGGACTGTATTAAGAACCTAAATGAGATTTTTTTTTTTCTAGCATGTTGCGTTTTCCCCATACAGCTGTTATCCTGGGAGCCACAAACCTTTTCTAGCGTGGGTCTGCACCGACAGCGAGACAGGAGATGCGCTATTGTACACATCTGCTCAGCCTCACAGGTATGAACCGGCCCTTTTTCATCAAAGGGCTGACACGAACTTACGCGCAGCTAATTTTAAATCGGCGTAGTACCGCCGTGTCGGAAAACTATCACTAAATATGCACAGATAAGAGATTTTAAGATGTATCGTTACATTTCACGGAGAGCTACACACAAGCTCCACATACGCACAGGCACGCGAAAAAAAAAAAAAAAAAACGCATTTCCCCCAAATCAAATATTTACGCCTTCCTCCTCTGAATTTCAGCAATTTGCCTCCTGGCTGGTCTCGGGTTGCGAGAGGAAATTTTGAAAGGCAGGGGACGGAAAGGGTTAACGCCGTGTCAACACCTTCTGTCGATCCATCCACCAACCGACACCGCTACCGCGACAGAACACGCAGCACCCC